ATAATGTTTTTGAACAACGCTAGCGATGCTAATTTTAAGCTAACAGCTAACGACCGGATGAGTGACGTGTCACGTCACTTCCTCCATGTCAGATGGTAAAGCTTGGTTGCATCAAAAGCCTTCGCTGTGCTTAAAATCACTAAATAAACTTGCCACATGTCCCTGAAAACTCATGTTCATGCAAAGAAGTCGTGCTTGTTGAAACAACGCCAAGTTTAAGCTTTAAAACCGTTCAGAAATGTTGGTTTTAACCGAGTTTAGCCGAAGCTAATTTTAAGCTAAGCGGCTAACAACAGGATGTCAACAGAACGTCACAGGAAGTTGTCATAAGCTCCTGCTGGTAGAAAGCTAAACACTGCCCCCTCCTGTGGAAACTTGATATCACAGTTTCACTTAGTTTTAGGTTATTTTGATGAAATTAGACGTGCTTAGATGCATTTATTGAGTTAATAAACGTTCTTCAAGTTGAATAATCACTGTTATCTTACATTTAAAAGTAATTAAAGTATTTATGCAGAAAGGCATTTACTAAAAACTGTTATTCACTGGTAATCCCTCTGATGGAGGTGCAAAATAAACAGTTAGAAACTTTTTAAAAGATACATATAGGATATTCACAGAGTTGACAAAGTTTACTCATTTGCTGGAAAGATAATATACGTTTAATTGCTAAATCACTAAATAAGAGTAAACTTATCAGGAAAAAGAAACTTTTCTGTTTAAGTTACCACCTAAAAAAACTACATCTTCCTATTTAATTTTAAATAGAAGATATTGGCAGGAGAACAGGAGTAATAACAGTTTTTCTGAAGAAAGACTGATTAATCCTGACACATCATCAATTTTTCTTTTTCTGTTCACCACCTGGTTCTATGAGTAACTGTTAAAATAGCGAATTCTGAAGTAAACGGTTTAAAAAGCGTTTTTAAACTGATGTTTGCTGTAAGACTTTTTAGAAAATTGCAGGTTTATAAAAATTCAGTGCTTTAGAGTAAAATACACTGAGAAGCTTGGTAATCTAGTATCTGTTAAGAAATAAGCACATAAAAAGTAACACTGCAAGGAAGCATTTACTTGAATATTCATGAATTAGGGTAAAACCTGGACAGGTGCCCACATTTGAATAAGTTGACTTATAACAGTACTTTTGTGTAAACCCAGAGCTAAAATAGTGTGACACTCATTGACACTTGAATACAAATATTTACCTGTAAAATATCTGAAGCTGGCAATTGTTTTTCCAGATAAAGTGCTACACAGTGAAAGACCATGACAGGTGTGGTAAGAAAAGATTTTGATCCTTATGAGATGAAGGACTGTTTAGAATATGCGTTAGCACTGCTGACAGCATCCTTACATCCATATGGCAAACAGGCGGAGAGCATGAACCCAAAAGAGTTAGTGGACAATCTGATGGAAGTTGCAGAGAGTGTGACCTCTACAGAAATTACAATGGCAAGCTATGAAAAGCTGGCTAAAATGGCAATGTTGCTGAAAGAATCATACTTTGCATTAAGACGGGATCACGACGTGACAGTGTCACAAGTTTCCCGCTGTAAAGGTGAAATAGATGTGCTTAAAAAAGATCTACACAAACGCGAAGTGCATAAAGACATGTTAGTGGAACAATATATGCGTTCACGAAGTGAATGTCAAACATCAAAGGAACGTTTAAAAGCATGTGAGGAGAAACTAATGCCCCTTTTCCATTAGTACCGGTACGGGCCGGTACAGCCCGGCTCTACTCTACTCGGTACGGTACAGGTTGTGTTTCCATTATGCTTTCAGTACCGGTTCCAGTGGGCGGGGTTCAAATTGACGTCACGGCCTCTCACCAGCTGGTGGCGCTGAGACGCAGAAACTGTTTTCAGTACAGGTTGAGAATTTAT